TGGTGTATGGAATTCACAACCTGAAAACAAAACCTCTTTGCTCTACAGCTCTTGTGTCTTTCAGTTGTATGCTCCTGGACCAAACATGCTGCTTTTCTTTTTGAGAAAGAAACATCTTTTACTAGATAAAGACATTATTTCTTTTTCTTTTGTTTAAATCATGGGTCTTATTTCTTTTATTTACAAGGGTATTAAAAGTTCCTCTTTTGTGTTTCTTGATCTGAAAGCAAGTATAGTAAGTGACTATATGTATGTGAGTATTAGATACCCATATACATTTATATGCAAACACATACTTCTATGGCTTTAGACCATATGACAAATTGAAACATGAGAGGCCTTCGGGAGGAATAAAAATCAAGAACTAGATCCTGGGCCAATGTAGATCAGTTTCCCCTTAAACTGCTGTTCTGAAGCAGCCCTCTCAGGATGTGTCTGATCCCTTATACCTCGTGCAATGAGGTTTACAGAATCGATCGGAAAAGGCTTTCCTTGTTGACCGATCCCCGTCCAGACTGATGCAAAAAGCGGCGGCCATTTCTATTCAAATGAAGTGCGGGATATTTAAATCCCCGCTTCATTTGCAATAGTGATGTGTCTAATCTACATCCCTCTGTCGGCCGAAGGGTGTAGTTTAGACACACACTCTCCCAGTAGGGCACCAAGATAATAAACTTCCTCAAGGGACAATATCCAAATCTGTACCTTCAGCTGGTAAAATTAATATTTTCTTTCTGATCTTTGGGGCAAATCCAGCTCCATCCTTTATTAAATGTGGCACGGTGAAGGAAGGAACAAAGGAAGAGAATTAGTTGGCAGAGAGAAGCAATAGTGGAGGATTTGTCACAAATCGTCATGTCTAAGGGTTGGTGGAGTTCTGTATCCTTGGAGGAAAGACTACTTCCTCTCATGTCCATTTCTGCACATATCTAGTAAGAGCTCAGCTTGACTTTTCTGGTTGGCTGATATGGTTTGCTTTATTTCCCATTGAAAATAATGCAAATATGGAGTACCGCAGTTTATTTGAGTAGAATCACAATGAATTTAAATTGGCATAACTAGGATAAGGATTCCATGTCCAATGCTCTTTGGTGTAAAAATAATAGTCCATTTTATAGAGTCAGAGTTTTGTTTGATTTATTTATTACACAGCAGAATATATATAAGGTAGCAAATCCTTTCCATTTCAGCAAGTAAGTAGACTGCTCTGCATACATTCACTCCTGGCTTTCTCTTATGTACAGCATAGCTGTAGTCCAAGCAAGATGGTAATGGCCAGTCTTGGGAGGAGATTAGTGAGGAGAAATATCTAATAGATGAGGGACCTATCCAGTAGCTCAGCTCTGTTACTGGTGTAAGGAAGTGCATGTCTGGCAAAGAGAGCATTGGAAGTGCTCTTCCCATTTCAGAGATAAATGATCATCTTTCTGCTATATCATCCTGTGGGGAATACTTTGCATTGACAGGGAAATGGGTAAGATGTTCTAATAGGTCTTTTTTTTTAATTTCTAGGTTCTATAATTCTCTGATACAGTATATCTGGCAACAAAAGAAGGTATAACCTGCTACAATGAAGGACTTAACTTGGCTAATAATAGACTGAATTAGCTCTGGCACAACTATTTGAAATATACTTGGGCTAATTAAATGGACTCTGTTCTCTTCTACCCTAGGTATAACAAATCTGCATACATGAGCATTGTACCTCAACATTTTCAGAGATTCTCACAGAGGAAGAATACAAAAGAAAGCAAATTATTTTTACTTCCAGTAAGAATGGGTTTATCTGCTACTGATTTCCCCCTATTTTCTCACTTCCTGACTGATAGAGGATCTTTCCACCACTGTTAGATGTTAGTTCCATTGCTGCTGCCTTTTTATTATTATTAATTATTATTATTATTATTAGGATGAGGAGTAGAATAGTATCACCTTCAAGCCACAACCAAGATCAGGACACCACACATGATATGGCACTGTGCACACACATACTTGGGGCATGTCTTTTCACTTGTGGATCCAGAGATCAATATTCTGGTATTTGATTTAGTGGGTCTACTACAGACCCATAAATTGAATGCAGAGGGCAGCTCTTACCAGCATCTCTACTCAAGTCGCAAGGAGTTGCATTTGCTCTTGTCAACATCCTGCAGAAGGGATGGCGCCAAGCTCGGTTTAAGGTAAGCCGACTCCAGCTACATACATATCTTAAGCTGACCTTCCAGGTCTAGTGTAGACTTGAGTGGTATAAGGGGCCTACCATCAATCAAACGTTGGCCCCATCTCTGACCCTTTAGGCCCCCCAACTGTTCAGGCCCCGCCCATCTGTCACCAGAAGGCCCACCCTTGTGGGTAATACATCCGAGGTCAAGAGGGATGACCAGAAGTAAAAGGTGTCATGTGACCCTTCTAAGATCTCCTTCCACCACTCTCTACCAATCAGGAAGGTTTTCACCCTCATAGGACTGCCATGAGAGCCTATTTGACAAATGGGGGCAGTTCTGGGGCAGGTTGGCCTGTCCAGAAGTGGGTCATGTGACCCCTCTAAGAACTCCTCACACTGTCTGCTACTAATCAGGCAGGTTATTGCCCCCTTAAGACCACCCCAAGAGTACGTTTGACCAATCGGGGAGTTCCAGGGCGCATTGACCTCCCAGAAGTGGGTCATGTGACCCCTCTAAGAACTCTTCACACTGCCTGCTACCAATCAGGGGGATTTCACCACCATAAGACCACTCCAAGAGCAGAGTTGACCAGTGGGGGCAGTTCAGCAGCTTTATAATCCATGATTATCACCCCTTAATAATAATGCTAATTAATAAATTAATTCACAATCTTTTTGGCATAGATGCATACATAAGTACAATGGGTGAACTTTTGATATATCACAGGGTTGGTGAATTAAGACTCCAATTGACTTCACTGGACTTTGCAACAGGAACTGCTGCAAAAACTAGTTCTGATGATCTAAAAGTCTGAAGGGTAGCCATGTTAATCTGTAACTTTAAAAAACCAAGTAGTCCTGTAGCACTTTGAAGACTAACAAGAATACATTTTCATTAATCTCTAAGGTGCTACAGGACTACTTGTTGTTTTTTAGATTTGATGAAACATACCAGATACAGTACGTTATTTTATACTATTCTTGGTCTCCAGACATAGCACTTCCTAATCAGAACACAAACAGTCTTTGGATACATTCTACTAATGTACAATCAGAGTTCTGTCTGCCAATGAACATGTTTTGTGCTCCCTGAAGTTGTTTATCCGTAGCAATTTAAATTCTTCCCCTTGATAGTACTTCTCAATAACCAGTCATTATATCCAAGAAACATTGTTCCAGTTGGAGTAAACTCCACTCTGGATTTTTTGCATGCTTCCATAGTTTTCTCTCTCTATTGTTGTTGCTTTATTTTCTTCTCTGAACTTTGTCCTCAGTTGTTTGTTTTAAGACATTTTGTAGCCATTTCTCTAATTTAAAGCCCAGGGTAAATAGTATTTCCCAAACAAGTAGAATGGCAAGTGAAAGACAGTGAAGTGAGTGAGAACACCAGTAGCCTTGTGACTGCTCTGTCCATCACTTCTAATTAGTTTTGAGAACTCCCTTTGGTTATTCAATGGCTTTGCAAAATTTCCCATCAGCCCAAATTCACTGGTTGAACCAGCTTATCTGGCAAGGTTGGTTAGTTTTACAAATCTGCCTTTGAAGTAAGATCTAGGGAAGCTTTTTGAAAAACAAAATAAACTCAATATTGGAAAAATCAATTAAAGCAAAAATTAACATTAAAAAAAGAACTGGTTGTGACCTGCAAGATTTGACTCCTCATCTAAATACTCTCAAAACTTGAATGTGTTTTCATCCTGGATTTGAGTTCTGGCTCATCAGTATCTCTTAAAATTTTAATCACAGTATTATTATAAAGCAGCAGTGTTAAAGGGATTGAAGGCTGTTACAGTTACAATGTCAAACAATTTAAGCACCAAATGAATGATTTTATGCTGCTAGTCAGGCTCAAAAAATTATGGGGTCATGGTAGTAAAAGAAGTGTTCTCTTACTTCTTCAACTAGTTCCATAATTAACATTCATTTGGCTACTTGAGGTTTGGCATGCCATTTCATTAAAATAATACATTCACAGATAGAGAAAGTTTTGAAAGTATAATTGGTTTCCATTGTCAATATAACTTAAAATCCCATTAACCACAAAAATTCAGCGTTGTTTTCCTAATGAATTGCATAATTGGATCATCAGATTTCTCTCTTTATATAAAAAAAAATCAGTTGGTAGCTTTAAAGGTCATCATTTGCATGATTTTCCCCCTTCAACATTACATTTCCACTTTTATGTCTACTACTGGAGAAAGGTCAGAGACCTGGAAAGTTAAATGATATCATGTCAAGAACAGCTAATAGTGCCTCCCCCCCAACCTCCGCCTTGAGATATCAGCAGTCACCATCAAATACATAAATGCTTTCAATTTGATTTGAGAAGAGTATCCACGTTAATCCATTAAAACAATTTGGTGCATTATTCTGCTGCCATGCAGATTCTTTGCCCTATGTACCCAACCATAATATATTCATGGCTCTTCTCCTGTGGACTCCAGTGCATTTTCAGTTAGCCGGAATGGTACATATTTTGAAAACCCTATCAAGAAGCTTATCCATGTGAAAAGGTGGGAAGGGACTGAAAGAGAGAGCCTGAAAAAGGGTGGATGTAGTGAAATAAAGACATTTAACAACAATTTTACATGCCAAAGTTATCAGTATGTAAACTAAATCTGCCCCAGGAACAGATATTGCTAGAAGACTATTTTTTATTATAGCAAGCAACAGGTACCTAAATAGTCTTTC